CCCCAAAACCCCAAAACCCCAAAACCCCAAAACCCCAAAACCCCAAAACCCCAAAACCCCTTGAGTTTATAGAATAATTTGCTTAAAATGGAGACTTATGCTACTAAAATTACGGGTTTGGCACGACTTATACGCTCATGCAAGAAACCGATCATCTTCACTGGTGCTGGACTAAGCACCAATGCTGGGATCCCTGACTATCGAAGTGGTATGGATACCACTGTGAAAACCGGGCCTGGTATTTGGAACTATAAGGATGATGATTCCTTCTGGGATAGAGTCTTAGAATCACGGAAGCGCACTCTTTTATAGCTACTCCTTCCTACTCTCATATGGCAATAGCAAAGCTCATCGAGGAAGGACTTGTTGAACATCTTATTAGCCAGAATGTTGATGGTTTACATGTGAAAAGCAGAGTCCCGCTGAGCAAGCTCACTGAACTTCACGGAAATGTTTTTAGCGAGAGTTGCCAAAAATGAGGAAGTGTTTACTATCGAAATTTTAGGACAAGGATCCAAGAGGATCGAACTCATGACACTGGAAAGACTTGTGATAATGCCGCTTGTGGAGGAGATCTTCATGACACCTTGGTTCTATTCGGAGAATCAATCCCAAGATCTAAATTGGAGCTATCTTTGTACAAGGCTTATCATTCAGAGCTATGCGTCTGTATTGGTTCCTCACTGCTGGTTAAGCCAGCAGTATCTTTTCCAATGTTGGTTAAAAAGAGAGGAAAGTTAGCTATTTTGAACATGGACCCAACCCCTCTTGATAAGATTTCTGACGTGACAATTCATGATAATTGTGATACAATAATGAAGTCTCTTATGGATGAACTAGGAATAACGGTTCCTGACTATATACAAGAAAATCGGATTGATATCTTGAAGGGTGATGATTCTCTTGAAGTTATTCCACAAGATCTAAACCATCGAAAAATAAAGCATGTAGAATTACTTATTTACGATGAAAAATCAGATATGACAACTGAAAAATTGCCTTATCGATTTAAATTTTCATCAGAGACATCGCAGTGACAACTCAGGTTACATTTCAAAACTGGCTCTAAAACACCCCTAGAGATCGATTTCGAAATCTCCCAACTCTCCCATGGCCTAAACCCCGTAATCTGCAAATTCACCCCCTCCCACCACCCAAAATCTCCCTCTCCAAGGCCTTGGACAGAAATAAAATTCCAATAACTCCCAAAAATCCTTCTTCAACATATCCACCCAATCAAGGGGTTTTGGGGTTTTGGGGTTTTGGGGTTTTGGGG